TCGGCTTTTGAGGAAATTGAAGGTTTTTAGGTGCGTCTTATAGTGCGGAAAATACGGTAATCACATGATGCATTAAACCAAACTAATTAATTTCCCTCTAAATCACTTATTGTTTCTATTTTCTCTTTTTCTACAAAAACTGGATGATATAAGTCTGGTGTTTTGGTCTAAACTAAGCCATTTTTTAAGGATACTTTTATTTACAGAGACTTCATAATTTACGTTATTTGTTGTTTCTGTTTCTTTATTTTGGATATTTAAAATGTTCCAGTGTTAAATGCTCATTAGACTTCAAAGTTGAGAATGTCTTCTTCCATTGTTACCTTTATTTTACTTGAAAATGGTGTCAAAACAACAATATTATCATTTATTGTAATAACAGAAACGTTTTATCAGGACAGACCGAGACTCAGATCCTGTTCTTAAACTGAGAATAAACCTAATTAATCAAGCCAAAAGCAAACTGAAAACTAAATGCTTTTCCTACAAAAATGTACCGTTTTATAGGCTTTTATTTTAGTTTTTTTATTTTCACCATTTTTAACCCATGTGACCATAAGTGCTGCTCTAAATTCTGCTCACTTAAGTGCAAATCGATTATTTTCAAAGCTAAAGTCAGAATTACAGAGTGATGTTTTCCTAACTGTCTCTTCATATTTAACGCTACTAAGATAAGTTATATTTGATTTGTGTCTTGGCAGATTTCTGTGTTTACTTAAGCGTTATCTCGTTGGATCGGTACGGGTGGTGAGTGTGGAGTATGAAAGCCACAGAGCGCTTATCCTCTCTGGATCAGACCGAATTACCATCTACTCTCACATCTGGGCTTTTGTTCCCCCCCGTTTCTTGGCAGCAGCAGAAATGATTGCACCTACATTGAAACCCTCCCTCCTTTTCCCAACAGGACAAGTGGGAGGTTAAAAAAGCTTCCTTTTGTTAGTCCACACAAAGACAGTTTAATAGTTTAGAAACCTTATATATATAGTGCTGAGTGACTGCGAGAAGGGCAGAAGTTCATTCCAGAAACAAAACTTTCTCAGGTGAAGTCTGTCTTGTTACAAACTGCCTCCTGAATTGTTTGTGAGATTTGTAAGTCAATACATCCAGGTTTTATTTCCATTTCACACAACGTTCCGACACTCTCACATTCAGAATTGCTGCTATTTCTGTCGGTACACAACAATTTTTGATGTATTATGATGATAAATACACTCAAACTTGATTTTGAATTTTCCAAAGTTTTCACAACGTACCAACCATCCGTCGTCTGTTCCTGGTCGTCGCGTTGGTTCGTTACAGGAGGTTCGTAATCAAACTGATGCAGACCAGCAAAGCAAAGTAGGTCTTGGTTTGGTTGAAGTGAATGATTTGGCTGTGAATGTGAAACAGACCGGAGACCGCTCCAAAAGCAGGAAGTGGACGACAGCACAGGGAATTCTGGGTAAATACCACCAAACCAAACACGCTAACTAGCGCTAGCGGGAGAAATGGCTCATGAAATCCTACAGCCACTAAAATCTGATGCCACTCCATTATTGTTTCCGTTTCATGAAGAAGGAAGTTACGCTCAGTGTCTTCTTCAGAGGTTTTTGTGTCGTTCCCTTCAGTGATTCTTGGTGCAGCGCCCCCACAGGGCAGGAGGGGAACAGGTTGCTCTGTTAGTTTGGTTGGTTTGACTCAGAGCTGTGGGAAAATGGAAGACATCTTGATCCCAATCAAACAGAGTCTACTGGACTATCAGGTTTGAGAGCATCCTTAGAGAAACCGTTAAGAGTTACGATTTGACTGTGGAAGGAATCCAGAGAACTCACTATTTCCAGATTCTGTTCTCCATGTTCTCTGAAAGACAGATTATATTGTTTGTTTTGTGTTAACATCATTTTCTTACAGTAAAATAGATGATAGAGAATTACTTTAAATCATCGGATGTCAAAAACATCCCCCTGATGGGACAAAGGGAGCTGGATTTTTTTCTCCTGGAAACGTCGGGTATGAAATGAGATCGCTGCAATAAGTGAAACACAGATAAACATGCAGATACTAACAATCAGCTGACTGTTGGTTAGCAAACCAACAGGCCTCCTCTGCTAATTGAGAACAAGGCTTTCTGCTGTTTCAGTGGTTTAATTACGCAGCAGGGCAGAGGATAGGCGAACGATGCCAAGAACACGTGTCGTGATTTAACGTCCCTGCGGGAACGAACACGTCCGCTCGGTTCCAGCCTTTAATGGCGTCGTAGATTTCCTGCTGATGAACGGAGGCAGAATTAACAGTGAGCGTGCTAATTCACCACGCTGCTGTTACTGCTGTACAAACAGAGCGCCGAGGAACAAAAGCTACTCCAACATTAGTGTTAATGATCGAGCTGTCAGTTCTGAACTGGTGACAAACTGCAGACGAGCAAAAATCGGAGTCCGAAACCAATCAGGAAGTTAATGAGGAGAAAAATTACTCCTGTTTTCCTTCCCAGCTCTGCTGAGGAGAGGAGAGCAGGAAAAGCTACTACCACTGGACGGATTTCAATTGTGTCATCTGACAGGAATCCTTCAAAATAAACATTACAGATTATCTGTAAATATTCTGTGGGATGAAGTAGCTCATAAAAATGACATTTCACACATTCTTCTTTAATGCAAACATAAACATAATGACTTTAAATATTTAAAAAAGCAAATGCAAACAAACAGGAACAGAATAATAGGAAAGGTCACAAATCCCCCTTCAAAATAAAAGTTTGCTTAAATTAAAGGTTTTTGTTGCATTTTAAAAGATTCAACAGAAGATAAAGGAGCAGTATTATTTAAACATTTTTTAGGTTTACATCATATTATAATGTTGTTCTCTCACTAATAAATGGAGCGTTGCCTTGATTCTTCCATGCATATTTGAGAAATCCTTTTATCTCCATAGGAAAACACCTGGGTGGACTGGCTCCGCCTTCTAGACGCAGCTCCTCCCCCACTGAGCTCCTTCAGACTAGCCATGAGCAATTAGCAAACACCTGCTGAGCTCATGTTAGGAGCCACTTCTCAGAGCATCGCTGGTAGAAACGTTGTCAATAGAGGAGCCATGTTGTGATGACTTCCTGGAGGCGGAGCTTCAGAAAGAACAGGAGCTTCTTAAAGAGAAATAAAACGATGAACAGTTTTCCTGTAGTAGATATTTATCAAAAGATCATGTAGCAGTTGCGGCTCTAAACAAGTTTTATTTAGCAGGACTGATGGCAAAATGGCCGACCCATCGCCTACACATATCAGTTTATCCATCCACACTTTAAAAGAGGAACATGAACTCAGATAATCTGAATAAATATGGAAACCTGTTCTGGAAGTGAACTCTGACTGTGTTTCTCCCCGCAGCGTTTTCACCCACCAGCTACGACTCGACCATGACCTGCCGCTCCATGAGCGCTCTGGTTCTAAACGACGACAAGGCCGAGTGCGAGGCCGGCGGCCAGGCGGCCAGCTTCACCGTCGACACCATCACCGGCGACACCAGCAACTAGAAGAAGAAGAAGAATGTCACGATAAGTTCTCGCCTGAACTGAAAACTGTTCAGCTGTTAAAGCAGATTTTTGTTCCTGATTTCTGTTCTGCTCTGAGTCTCTCTGTTCGTAACTGAAGGGAGTTAATCATCCAAAAACTGACTGTTTTTTATGATTCCTAATTAGAAAAAAATCAAGACTGAATTAGATTACACAAAATAAAATACTGTACTCTCAAAAGTTTACACACCTGCTACACCTTGACTTATTATTTCAAAACATTTTACAACTTAAGTTGGAATATATGTGTGTAATTCAGTTAAAGATAATTTATTATCAGAAAAATGTGTACAACACTGCAAAAACACAAAATCTTAAGTATTTTTGGCCCGTATGTGCAAATGTGTTTTAAGTCAATACGCCATTAATATTGATTAAAAATAAACTTGTTTCACTGGCAGATTGACTTATAGCATTAATATTTAGTGAAATAGCTAGAACTTTTTCATCAATACTAAGGAATTATTGATTCAAAACAAGCTCATAGTTGTTGCTGTATTGTTACTTATTAATTAGTTTCGTCTCATTTTAGATGCATCAAGATATCTGAATTAGAAACTAGACATAAATACCTGGTAAGGTTTTGTGTTTTTGCAGTGTAGACGTTTTCTCTAATCCAAACATGGTGAAGACATGACTGCATGTAAACAGCTTTTTTCCCTCTAAGATTCATTTCCAGTTTAATTCTGAGGGTTTAGCGCTTCATTATATGTAGAAAAAGTTAAAGATTTATCATTTTTTCCCAACAGAAACCTGGGACTTTAACAGGTGTGTAAACTTTAGAGTCGCTGTATTGGTCAAGTTTGTATTTTTTGATAAACTACATCCTGAAACACTGGAATCAAGGTTTTATTTCTTTAAATTAAGTAATGAAATTTGGTTAATTGGACTTATTGTGTGCATTAATTTGACATTTTACACAATATAAATAATGCAACTTTTACTTTGGTGTATTTTTTTAATCCAGTAGGTTAATTTTCTTTGTTTAAGGATTTTTTTTTCTGCTATGTTGAGCAGTTTTCCATTCATTTTCATTTTATAACAAACAAGATTTGTATTAATCACTCTGAACGTTTTGGAGCGGAGGAGTTTTTTTTGTTGTAATTTGCCAATCAGCCACTAGATGTCGCTGGATCTTACTGTATGCTCCCTTCTGACATTTATTTTGATTTTTCCAATCAGACACGATGTTGTTTTTCCAACAGAATCACATCAGGTGCAAATAAATCTCATTAATCTCACATCTGTGAAATTCATTTTAAAAAATGTTTAACTTTGCACAAAAACATTAAGATTTTATTGTTTTTCCTGAACAGCAGTGTGATAAACGTTGAGCAGCAGTCCAAGTTGTTCTAGAAATGTTCCAGGTTTAAAAAAAGCAAAGCGAGGCGGCAGGTCGTAAATCACGCTGCTCTTCCCTCTCTGGGCGTGTGATGAGCGCCGGATGCTTATTTATGGCCTCCTTTATTCCTCTGGATTTGCATGTGTATTGTATATTTAACCCCTTCTCAGCAGAGGTGTTGGCGCCGCACGCGGGTTATTGTTTACAATTTTTTACCCACTTTGGGACGACCTTGTAGAGTGAGCCGAAGCATCACTCAATAACACAACATTTATGGAGAAACGCCTCACATCTGGCTGAAAACTTTGGAAAATATATTTTAAAAAAGGATTTTTATAATTATTATTTTAACAAACCAATGAAAACATTTCACCACTTTATTAGCAATAAATGATTTACATTTTAATCATGGCTAACATATTATTTTCAGATTTGATTAGTCAAATCTGAAACTTTTTAACACTCAAACCCACTTGAAGAGCAGTTTGAACATGTAATACTTTCTTCAGTCACTTTTTGCTCGTTTGGAATAAGGTTGATTTTGTGGTGAACTATCTGAGTTTTAGTTTTCTTCAACATTTTCTGGCATTTTAATGAGTTTTCCAGTTTCCCTGAACAGAAACAGATCCTCCATCATTCTTAAAGAGGCAGCATCGTGGTTTCCAGGCACATAGTGTCATTTTATGGCACAATCAAGTAACTTTGTTACCTTCAGTTGTTGTAGAAATGCTTTATGTATCAAATATGACTTAAAAGAAATTTAACATCTTGAAATTGGGCATCTGTTTCTTTGAAAAGTCTTCTGAAGCTTTGCCTTCACAAAGTCATCACAACACTATAATTTTTCATCTTTATTACTCCAAATTCACCTGGAGTGTTTGTTGCTGAAAATCTTAATCTTAGTCTCATCTGAGCAACGCAGGCGATTCTAATTAAAGTTAAACTCACATTTACATTTGTGTCATAATTCCCAAACAAGCAGTCAGCATTGTCTGATGAATGTTGTGGAGATAAACTCAAGAAAACCAACCAATGGAACCGAGTAGCTGCTAGTGAAGAAGGGGTTTAAGTCATTGGAAACAGAAAGCCAATGGTAGACACATTTCTGCTAATAGCAGAAAGAAAGGGCTAATTTTTCACTTTAGCTAACTTTGAAAACGTTTAGCAGAAAAATTCTGGAGCACTAATTTACTTGATTGTTTTGTAAACTTTTAGTTGAATAACATCTCCATTTATTTTGAAGGTTTGACTATCAGTTAAGAAATCTTCAAGTAGTTGGACGTTTATATGTGTGCTCTTATTTTGAAGGGAGTAAAGATTGTTTACACAGCAGTTCCGTTTCCTCTGTTTACTTCTCTGGCGCTTTTTTTGATCATTATTTCAAACAAAAAAGATACACAAACAAAATAAAACAGCGACAGCAGAGAACAAGATATAAGCATTATTACTAGAACATGTCAATTATTATGTCAAAAGGGTAGATATAATTTGAATTGAAGTTAGCACTTTAGCATTAGTGTCCGCTAGCGTTAGCATAGCTAATGTTTATGTTTAGTGTTAACTAAAATATCCTCTAACTGATTGCAGTTTTTTTTTTGCTCCGTATTATTTGCATAAAATTTGCATGTTCAAGCTTTTGTTCATAGATTTGTATTGCCTTGTTGCTGAAAATGTGCTTTGTAATTACCTTTACCTTAGATTATATCTAAAATATTCAAAAGAAAACACATTTGCGGCTCAGTCGGTTTCCACTGTGCATATTATATTTACGTATATTTCAACTATTAAAATAGGCAGTTATAAGCGTTTATGAAAGAGTAAGTAAAACATAACGTTATTTTAACAAGAGGCCCTAATTAAAGTGGCAAGCACTGTAAAGTGTCAAACTAATCAATCTCTCACTAAATACGTAAATCGCCTGAGGATTTTAATTATTTTTCTTGGATACCTGAAATGGATGTAAGTGGAACTTTGCTTTTCCAGTCTGAATTTATTAGGATTCATTTCCAACGCGTTGGCCACAGACGTAATTTGGAGCTTTCATGTTTACGTCGCTACAAGTTTTAGTGGAATAAAAGTGCTGCGAAGTGATGAAGTGTAAATGTGAAGTCGTCCTGGGGACAACATAAAACCAGACAAAGAAAATTACTTGTATTTTCTTTTCCAGCACGGTGTTCATTGGATTCTGCCCCATCTGCTGTAATCAATAACATGACCGTCTTGTTTTTTTATGAAACGCACTTACTCTTAATTTCATCCACCAGTGGTTTTAGAGAGCAGAATGTGGAGTTACCTATAAGGCTTTGACATTATAAATCACCTCTTGAGACCAGATTGTGCGGCAGTATCGATTGATCCTGATATATCACTGAAATTTACTGTCACTTCTGTTTTCAATTAAAGATACAATCAGTCAGATAATGACTTAATTGGATTTTACAGAAGATTGAGTTTTATCGCCTTGTGCTTTACGAGTTTAGTTAAGGAAAGCCGTTTTATCACCGCTGCCGCTGACTTGTCCTTCTGTAGCTGCCGGCCCGTGTACAGCGGCGGGAAGAAAGTGTCACAGGGTCGCTTTTCCTTGAGCTGCCTCGGCCTCCATGAATCACGGCTTCCGGTAATAGATAGAATCAGGCCGGATCGCGGCTGACAGAGTGATGGCGGCTCGTTACAGACAGGAAGTCTGCGAAGAGGTGAAGGAGGAAATATTTAAAAAGCGGCGGAGGCGAGTTTTAAAGACTCTGAGCTTCTTGACAGAATCAGACAGAAAATCTGATTTATTTTGGAAAATTTCTGGATTTTATCTCAACATAAAGGGTTAATTTCACATTGCGTTTCCTGAGATATAATGGAGTTTGGCAGTAATTATTTTATCTATTTGAGTAACTTTTTAAAAAGTTATTAAAATAAATTATTTAAATAAAAAGAAAAAGATGAAAAAGTTCTAGTTCCATTGGCAGATTATTTCTCTTATGGGAAAAATGTTTTGTGGTCAGAGTTGGGTAGAAACTGGTTACATTTACTTGAGTAACCTTTTTGAAATAATTTACTTTTAGGAGTATTTTTACTACACTTTGCTTTTTCCTCTTTGAGTAACTTTATTATAAAGTAGCTCTGCTCTAAACTGGAGTCACATCTCTGGATTTTCTACCCACTGAATGAAAAACAGGCATGTTTTAACCAGACACACACCTGCAGTTTTTGTTAAAGTTTCATAAGTTTTTTACTGAAAGAAACTGATTTGGAAAAATTTATTTTGTCTGATTTTGATATTTTTTGTTACTTATGTAAATAATTGTCATTTTTATCCTTAAAATACCAAAACTTCCACTGAACTTTATATTTTGATCTTTCTGAGGATGTCATTTTAAATATGAATTTACTGATAATTTGATTCTTTACTCAATACCTGAGTAGATTTTTACCAAATACTTTTTTACTCAAGTAACTTCTTAGACGGCTACTTTTTACTTTCACTTGAGTTAAAATGTGTTGAAGTTGTGCTTCTTTTACTCTGACCCTAAATGCATGATATGACTTAATAGAAATAAATCAGGAATTTAACTCAGATTACTGAATAAATCCGAGTTACAGACGCATCAGTGGCTGTTTTTCTGGCTGCAGAATGACTGATCTCTCTCTAATCCAGATGTCAGCCCAGTTCCTCTGAATGGGTTTGGGGATTTTAAATCAGCCTCTCCGTGACAGGAGTCCTGAGTGGCGGCGCCGCCCCCAATCAGCCGCTCATAATGAGCCGAGGTCAGGAGGTCCACTCGCCCCGAAGTCATTAAAACAGAATAACTGTCAGGACGCCCCTAACGCTGCAGAACCGAACTTTGAATTACTGTTTATATGAAGTATTAAAACTCAAACACCAATACATAACTCTCCTGTGGCGTCACACTTCTGGGAACTTTGTAACTGACGGCCATCTTGGCAGCCAGTTGCTGAGGAGTTGCTATGATAACAATAAACAACCCATAAACTCTCTCCTCGTTCCTAACATAAAAAAATATAAGAACATTAAAATTATTACACAATTAAAAAAGTGGAGCCCTCTACCCAGCTCTGTGACACTAAGACAGACTTAGATAAATGACCTTTTCTGAAAGAGCGGCATATAAACCCAGAACTCCTCAACTGGCCCAGTTTTAGCTTCACTTCAAATTCTAATTATTTTATTTCTTAACTCAGACATAATAGAGAGCTCAGGAAAATCCCCAACATCACATCAGCCATCAAGTTCTGCAAGTTCTGACCCATTCACTTCCATCAGGTGCATCTAAAACCCGCTGACACACTAAGGTAAGCGGATCACGATGCTGCTGTGGTTTTCTGTCTCTTCCGCTCATTTCTTCACCTTTCACCCACCAGCAGCAACATCCCACCACAACATGCACTGATGCATCATGGGAACTCCCTCAGGTCCATCAGAACGTCACTTCAAGCTGGCACGATGCAGCCATCTGCACCGAGATGTTTCCTTAACTTTGTCGTAAAATCAAAGGATGAACTAGCGAACTACTCGTTAAGTCAAATAAATATTAACTGAGCTTCAATGTCAGAGAAAAATAAACCGACCCCGCTACTGTTGCTCCTACAATGAGCTCAGCAGTTCCACCAGGAGTTTGCTAGCTGCTGCTGGCTAGTCTGAAGGAGCTGAGCAGGGGAGGAGCTGTTTCTTGAAGGTGGAGCTAGGTCCACTCAGGCATTTTGGGCAGCTGAATGGTTGCCATGGAGATTAAAGGATTTCTCAAACATGAAAGAATCAGAGCAACAATCCAGGTATGTTTTGATGAGTGAATAACATTATAAATGATGTAAAGCTAAAAAAGTTTCACATGATACTGCCCCTTTAACTTTGTCACACCTCCAAGACATGGTTTTTGTCACTTTAAAGAAAAAGGCGGGAGTGGGAACCTTTTCCCAGGATGCATCACAATGAGGAAGTGATGAGCTCAAATGGAGAAAACTTAGTTGATTTTTATTTGTGTGTAATATTTAATGTATTACTTATGTTTTTCAAGATTTTTAGTTTTAAGTGACTGTTGTTGGTGATGGAAAATGACCAAATGTGAAAAAGGAAAAAGAACAACAAAACATTTTTTTTATCTTACTAATAATTTTAGGACAAACAACAACTTTCACGTTTTTATTTTAATGTTATGCAGGGTATAATATCTAATTGTGAATTTCAAAATGTTTAATTTCTGAATAATTTGGAGATTAAATCTGAAATATGAAGTTGATTTCATATGTTGACCTTTTATTAATTATATCTAGAGCAGCAACTAACAATTATTTTAGTAATCAATTATTCTATTGATTTTTCTGACAATTGATTGATTAATCGGATAAAAAATCAGGTGATTTATTCAAACACTAAATTATTTTCTATACAATAGTAGATATATATTAAACTATGAAAATAAACAAATAAATCAGTTTGTTTTTTAAATAAGAAAATAATTGACTAAAATTCAACAAAATATCTTTCAATTAGAAATCTTAAAATGTATATATTTGTTTTTTGTTTGTTTTGGGTGTTTTACAGTTTTGGCTTAATTGCTGCTCTGGTTGTGTTGTTCTTTCAGAAAATTATTTTTAGTCTATAATCCATCAATTACTAAATTAACTGATGATTAATCCGATTAATCGAAACAGCCTTTTGTGTTTTTTTTTTTCTTTTTTCTGTTCGTTTCTCCTTTTCCGGTTTAACTGCTCTCTAATTTCCGGTGATAGTTGTTTATTTCGGTCCAGTAATGATCCCTACATGGGTTTAAATAACTGCGCAGAGCATAAAACGCGAGGACAGCCTTGCAGGTGCACAACTTGCAGCGCATCAAATTAAAGGGAAGCTCATCAGCGCGGTGTAAACTTTTATTCCGGTTTGTGTTTTCCCCCAACATGAATAAATTTATTGTGCGTTCGCCCCGCAAGCCTCCGGTACTTTAACTCCCACAAATCTAGTCGGCCGGCACAAACTGCAAAGCCACTCTAGTCACCTTGAAATTTCCTCTGCTATTTTCCAATTAAAAGCTTAATAGCCCTGGAGACGGGCTCCATGCGGCGAAGTTTACCGGGCTCTTATTCTGTGCGAGGCGCGCCGCTCGGATCCCATTATTTGCTTGAATAAACCTTTTTTACGGTCAGAAATGGGCCCCGGCTTTGTCCGGTGTTATGTTTCAATGCCCTCTATTAGTCCGGCGGAGGGGACATATCAGCGTCCTCCGCGCAGTTCCCAAAGGCCCTTTTATACCCGCGGAGAGCTAATCATCTAAGTTATGCACGACGGTGTAAAAGGTGCGAAAGCCATGCGCATGCGTGCTGACTGTTTTGTTTGTTTGGATTAATTTTTAGCGCCCTGAAGGCAACGGAGCAGGAAATTAAATGAATCAGCTTCAGAGCAACAAAGGCGATGTTTGCTAACAAATAAAGAAGGTTTTGAAATTACTGTGCTGACTGAAAGTTGTGATATTTATCTGAAAGGCCAGAAAATAAAACACAAATATTTGACCTCAAAATGGCGCAATTTGACATTTCAAAAATAAAATTGCTCAATGGGAACACTCCTATTTTGAAAAAACTTGTTTGTAGATGAAAGGTTTTGGCAAAATTGGATGGTAGTACTTTTCAACAACGGATGTTACCCTGGCACAAACCACGAAGAAGATGACAGGAAGTAGCTTTAGTATGGTAACATTGCTTGTTTTTAATGACTTATTTAATTGTACAATTGTGGTGTTTGTTGATATTAACTGAATATTGAAATGCATTTCTAGCTGTATGTCTAATGGAAATGCAGCTACTGATGATTTTTCAAATGGAGGATGTGGCTCTGCACCAAGGGCGCAATGTGTAAGGGGGCAGCAGGAGCTTCAAAAACTGTATGCATATCTCAGTTAACCTACAAAAATTTTTTTTTATTGCTTTGTATCATGTGAAATTAATGAAATGTCAATTTACAGTTGCTCTAAGACTCCTATTTAGTGAAAAAGTTTTTTTCTGCTGAGAATTTTATCCCATAAAAAAGTCTAAAATATCTCAGCTAGTCAAATTTTCCTCTGATCATTTTTACACAGATCATGGAGTCAGTGACATAACCACTCTTAGACTTTTGACATTTGTATTCCATTTATTAGAAAATCACCTTTATTTATTGTGAAAATTACAAAATATAAACTGCCATATATTTTTAAAAATAGTTTGAATGTATGAATCTGTAAATTAATAAATAATACATTCTAGATTCTCTATATAAAAACAAATAATATTTCCCATGATGCATATGGGGGGCCTCTCAGGGAAAAGTTCACTGAAGAACCGACTGTGGAACCCTGACCTTCATGAGACAGTCTTAGGAGAGCAGAGCATCTTCAGTCAGAGGCTTCTTCAGATTTGCTGTAATACAGACTGCTGCAGGAACTCTTTCCTGCCAACAGCCATCACTATCGACAATAATTCTTTGGAAAAATCTGAGTTACAGCAACGTTTAATTTCCTTTTGGGATCAATAAGGTATTTTTGAATTTGAACTTACAGCATCAGAATAATTACCATCTACTTGCCAATCTACACAAAGTACATTCTTTATAATTTTATAACAAATAAAAATATAAAAAATAAAACAAAAACCTAAAGATGATAATGGTAGAAAATAACAATAATAATCTACTAAAATACTAACAGAAGAAATGTAGTAATATAATGTATTTATTCTTAAACTGGTTGATTTTTTTTATTTACTGGTGTGATGCTAATGATAGTTAGCTACAGGAATGTTAACATATGGTGTTTACATGCTGGTTTGTGGGGAGCCCAGATAAAAACCCGGCTCAGGGCCCCAAACAGTCTCGGACCGGCCCTGCTGGCCTGGATATGTTTTGCAGCGTTTGGTTACTGGTGTCAGTGTGATGCGTCTCTGCGCTGTCAGTGGATCCTCCGCTCCAAGCCAACTCCTCTTGTCTTCATCCTGTCATGCGAGCACTTCCGGCTCCATCTCCCTGACTGATCACCTCAATCCTCCCGCAGATGTTCTTGCGCGCACAGGAAAATCCGCCGACAGAATGAACGGTTACGGATCCCCGTACCTGTACATGGGGGCCCCGGTGTCGCAGCCCCGCGCCCCGCTCCAGAGGACGCCCAAGTGCGCCCGGTGCCGGAACCACGGCGTCCTGTCGTGGCTGAAGGGACACAAGCGCTACTGCCGCTTCAAGGATTGCACCTGCGAGAAGTGCATCCTCATCATCGAGCGGCAGCGCGTCATGGCCGCGCAGGTGGCGCTGCGCCGGCAGCAGGCCAACGAGAGCCTGGAGAGCCTCATCCCGGAGTCCCTCAGGGTGCTGCCGGGCATCGGCATGAGCGGGGCCGGCGACGGGAGCCAGGGAGCCCCGCCGGCGAGGAGCGAGGAGCTGGAGCTGAGGTGGAGCGGCGCGGAGCCTCCGCAAACACGCACAGGTAACCAGCAGCAGAAAACCCGCAAATTTCAATTTAAATGTTTTTTAAAAAGTTGATCCGGTTAAAATATCACAAAAACTCTCGATAGTAGCATAAAAACACCTTTAACTCGCAAAATTCAGGGTTTTAGATCATTAAAGACAAAAAACATTAAGATTAAAGTGTGCAAATATTTATGATTTAAATGTTTATTTACTGCTGATGATGAACAGATAATAATCAATAACCACTGAAAATGTGGAAAGGACAAAATAACTTCTGAACTTCTTTTAACATGTTTTTAATTTACAAATAAAGGAAACGATTCAGAAATAAATATAGTAACTCGCACTAATTCAAATTGATGGCGAACAGTTTAGTTTATTTATTTACATTTAACCGCAGACGAGCCGGAAGCTCAATTATTACTCAGCGAAGATTAAAAAGTTTCTAAGATTACGAACCTAAACAGACAAAAAAAAAAACTCTTTTATGAGATAAAATATCAGAACTAACGAAGCGCTTCCGAGCATCAACACAATTAATATGAATATACTTTGCATTTTTATCATTTAGAATAACTGGGGAAAACAACGAGTTATAGTCTAACCTCATTCTTGCTTTTTAGAATTATCTAACAACAATTAAGGATTTTAAAAAAATTATTTTAGATTTCTATTAAAAGACCAACGTAACTAATATATCAAAATGCAACAACTGTCTGAAGCCATTCATATACATTCATACTCATTATGTCTAATATGTCAAATTGCAAATAACACAAGGAAAATCAGATAAATAAAAAGCAAAATAGATTTTTTAAGTAATACATACATTTATATAAAAAAGTCGATTTATTGAAGTTTTGGTCCAAACAGAAAACAGTTTGTCTACATTTTCTCTTCTTCTGCATGATTGAAAATCTCCGCCGTTGCTTGGTAACAGTGTTATCTGATGATGACGTAATGCAGGTGGAGTTATGATGGATCCGATTACTTAATCTGTAATCTGAATTTTGCTCTTTTTGGCATGACTTAAAAAATCTGCAATGTTGAGAAATTTTTTTTTATTTGATTAAATTATTCAATGACAAGAAAAATTCCATGTAATTATAACAGTTTAGTATAAAACATGTCGCTTTTTAATTACATCCGAGAGAATAACAGAATATTTTATTTGCAACTATAAACAAATCAGATATATAAGAAAAGAAGCTGCAGGTGAAGAACATGGCAGAGTTTAATCAGGCCACCTTTAGTATTTCCTGTTTTAAATATTAACAAATTGCTACTGTCATCATAAAAAGGAGATTTCAGAAAAAAAAACATGAAACTCAGAAAAATTCTGTTTTTTTCTGAGATTTTTTCTTTTCTTTCTTGTTTTTACTTGTTTTTAGAAAATTGCTTTTCAAACTCAAAAATTTCAAAAAAATTTTCCCTTGAAAATTTATCAGATTAATATCAAATGTTGACTTTGCAGACTCATAAAAGTTCACGTTTATTCTAGAAGATTTCTGAGTTTTACTTTTCTAGAAGATTTGCAACAAATCAAATCCCAGAAATGTTTTTAATATAAGAAATGTCTGAGATTAACGTCAGAATATCTTTTTTTCTTCAAGCAACTTTTTAGAACTTTCTAACTAATAAATTGCCTTCCCCCCTTCATTTAAAAAACAAAAGAAAATTACTGAGATGGTTTAGTGGAAATGTACGCCTCTTAAGAAATTACATTTTCTCTGATATTCAAGCTGTTTTTTCCACTACCGCTCTGAGCATGCGCAGTCCTGTCTTATTCCAGCTGATTTTTGTTTTCCTTCATGTGTTATAAATGTTTGGGTGACAGAAGCTGCGGATGACGGCCAAGACGAGGCGTCGGGAGGTGAGAACAGCGGCAGCTCCAGTGAGAAGGAGCCGGACCCGGCCAGCTCCCCGGAGGGATCCAAGCCCAACTCCTGCTACACCCCGGAGCAGCCGGAGGCCGCCCCGCAGCCCGACGACAGCCGCTACAGCCTCCCCAAGGCCGGCGGCGCCGACAAGGAGGCCAAGGCCGAGAGTCCGCAGCGACACCCGTCCGCTTCCGGGGAGCCGAACCTGCTGATCGAGGGCCTGTCCGGGTCCATCAGCCTGCCGCTCAGCCTGCGGGCCAACCGGCCCCCGCTGGAGGTCCTCAAGAAGATCTTCCCCACGCACAAGCCGCCGGTGCTGGAGCTCATCCTGCGGGGCTGCGGCGGGGATCTGGTCGGAGCCATCGAGGTGCTGCTGTCCAGCCGGAACCCGGACGGGAGCGCTCACCCTCACGCGGAGCCCCACCCGGTATCGGACGGTCTGGTTCTGCCTCAGAACGGACACCTGTTTGAGCACGCGCTGGGCTCCTACCACCCGGTGTCCTCCTCCGCCAAGTGGTCCGTGGGCTCCGCCTTCCGGGTCCCGGAGTCCCTGCGGTTCGGCTCGGACTCCGCGTCGGGCGCACTGGGTGTCCCGCTGCAGCACCCGTCCTTCCCGCAGCCCGCGCGCTACCCGCTTATGTTGCGCAGCTCGCTCACGCGCAGCCAGAGCGGCCCGTTCGTGCACAACGACGTGACCCTGTGGAACACCGTGGCGCTGCAGCAGCAGTACCAGCTGCGCTCCGCCGCGCAGTACGTCTCCCCCTTCGGCCCGGCGGCGCCCGCGGGCGCCGGCGCCTCGGTATTCCGCGGCTCCCCGATCATGCCGTCCAGAGCCGCCGAGGAGCCGCGCATCAGCATCCAGGAGGAGAGCTGCACGCTGGGGCCCAAGGCGGGCCTCTACTCCCCGGAGGAGGACTACGAAGAGCGCTCCGACTCCGCAGACTCCCGCATCCTGAACGCATCCACCTGAGGCTTTGACCCGTTAAGGAACCCAAAAACAAAACGCGCCGATGTGAACGGACGCAGAAATGTTTCTGTTGTTTAAACCGTTTGAACAACACGGACGAGATGACTTGACCAAAACTGGATGAATGTAACAGACTGAGCTTTTTCCTGTCAGCATGTTTCTCTGATCAACTGCATGTTCAAAACGCCAAATAAACCTGATCAGCTTCATTTCTTTAGAGTTTGTCATGCTCTTCTTTTCAATCCAAGAAAAATTTACTCTAAGGTTGCTATTTATTCATTATTTTTCATGCATTTATGAACCTCTACAATAAATGAGGATGGAGCTCCATGCCTTTAAAAACATTAATTTGTTACATGTAAAACTGACTTTAACTTAATTGATTACTTGTAACAAATTAATTCACTTTTCTAAATTGGATCATCTGTTTTCTTTATTCAAAGCAACTAAATTGTCTGACAAGTTTAAAAGGGATAAATAAAATACTGAAACATAAGTTTAAAACTTTTTCTCAGTAGGAAATTATCTGATTTATAATCCATCATTTCTCTCATCAAACTGATTCATTGGGATTTAAAAGTAGAAACAGAAAGATTTGTTATCAGGATTATTATTATTTTCTCATTTTGACACAACTGGAATAATTCTGCAATTAATTAGATCCGTGCAATTTAAAGATCTACAAACTTTTCATGTCTTTTCATATTTAATCACTTTCATTTATGATTTTCCACTTTTAGGGACACAAATAAGAAACAGAATAGAAATATCCTTTTATTGTCTCATGAAAACAGCTGGTGAGTAATATTTTCACGCAAAGGTAGGAATATAAAATATATACAAACGGAATAAAAAACGACATACTGTATAGTTACATTTCAACATAATGCAGTTATTAAAAAGAAAAACACTCTGATCCAAAGGAATGTGCAACTGAGTTGGTTCATTTAAGAAATGTACAAAATGTTGATGCATTAAAATGACACTAATCTGTGCAACAGTGGAGATCCGTTCAGCATAACATTCAGTAAACAATCTTCTGTATATCTGAATAATGGAAATATTTGTGCAGCTCAGTCCAGCTGCAACGTGTCGGTTTTTACTCCAAGTCTCTTTTGTTTTGGTTTCTTAAAAACTTGTTAAATGCTGCCATCAAGCGGCGATACAGAGAAATCCAAGAAATTTGATGTTATTAAATCAGATGTAACAATACAAAAGAGCTTTCAGTTGTTGCTTTCAGTAACAGAAGGTTTGAAGGACAAAAACAATCTTTTATTGATTAATTTTAATAATCTGATACATGTTAGCAGATGACCCAATTATTGATTTAAAAGTCTATCAATATTTCTGATTAGTTGATATGCAAGCACAACAGGCTCAGCCTGATCTATTAATGTTCAGCTTTCTATCTGTTTTTTTGTTTGTTTGTTTTGTTTTTCAGATTTTTTTGTTACAATCTTGGCTAAATATGAACATTGACTATTTAAAATAGTCGATGTTTGTGCCCCTGCACATCTTTTAAAAAATATTCTAAATTAGTTTATCTTGCAAAACTGCAATGGAAACTGATTTTTACGAGTCACGGTCACATGATCAAGAACCGGATGTTGCCACCGGAAGATGAGAGGAAGTAGTTGGATGATGGTGGCGCAGGTGCACAGCATTTTTCAATGACTTACAGAGGGAACAAACTTATTCATGTGTGATTTTAATTGTGTTTCTCACTTAATGGAAACACTGGAAATGTGAAATTGTGTTTGTTTTTCAACATCAGAAGAATATTGACAACATTTGAAACGCAGCTGGTTATCGGTCTGGAAAATGTGCAAAGCATTTTCTAAGGCTTTGGGACTCCAGCAAACCTCAGTGTGTGAAATGTTATCCAATTATAATGACTCAGTCTGGAGATCAGAAAAGAATCCCCCCAAAACACATCAGTAAGCCTCAGATAAGGTCAGAGTTCACAATTCAACAGTAAGAAAGAGAGACTAGAGGAAAATGGGCTTCATTTCTGACCAGAAGCATTTTTATGACCCTCAAAACGTCTGAGAAAATATTCTGTGAACTAACAAAATAAAGATGGAACTTCCTGGAAGGTTTCTCCTGTCATATTTAATGTAAAACAAACAAAAAAGATTATAGTGATAGTCA